AGACCCGGGACAAGACCCAGGTTCGAATCCCAGCACCCACATGGCAGCTAACAACTGTCTGTAACTCCAGTTTCAGGGGATCTGACAGCCTCTTCTGTCCTCCTTGGACACTGCCCGACACGGGTGCACTTACCTACATGAAGGCAATACACGTATACACATAAAAATAATAAATACAATATTTTTTAAAAATTAACAAAAACAATTTTTCAAACAGTCTTTTGCTTTTATTTTGTTTGTGTGAAACACGGTCTTACTCTGTAGCCCAGGCTGGCCTGGATCACTAAGTATACTACAGGCTGGCCTAAAACTCATAGTAATCCTTCTGCCTAAGTATCCTAAGTGCTGGGATTATATAGTATGAATTACCACTCCCAGCTTCAAGTAATTTTGAATGAAATAGACTCTCCTCTGATTAAAACATGGGCAGAGCTGGTGAAGGGACAGATCCCTCCTACCTTCTGGTGCCCCATGTCACAGTACCTTCTCCTAGATATCCTTGGAGTACTATTGGAAAAAAATCACCAGGCTGGATACACATACCTCCTACAAGATATGCAACCAGGCAGACATATAGACATAAGATACAGACACACACGTATGCACGCACACACACACATGCTGACAAACACACACCATCCCTCTCTAACATTATCTTAAAGTCATAGAGGAAATGCAGAATTGTGCATCACATTCTGGGGGGCAGGAGAGAATCTGAAACATAGGGCCCCTCAATTCCCTGTGCAGCCATGGGCAAGCCAACACCACTTCCTTCCGGCATTCTGAGCTATCAGCTCCCCCAAGGGGATTTGGGATAAAGATACTTGTTTCATTATTACTATTTTGTGTGTCATGTGTGTGGGCATGTGCATGCCACAGCACGTGTGGAAGTCAGAGAACAACTTTCAGGAGTGGGTTCACTCACTCCACCACTTGGGTCCTGAGGCTCAAACTCAGTTGGGTCAAACTCAGGTTGATGGACTCGCCAGCAAGTGCTTTTGTTACCACTGAGCATCTTGCCAGTTCAAGATGCTTATTTCTCAAGTTCTGACAGCCTTTGGAAGCTGGAAATCACTCCTCAAGTAATAGTCTTGTGTGTAGACATGGCCATGAATGGGAGAGCCACATTCCACCAGGGCCGCTCCAGGCCTGCAGGGACCTAGTCAGTTTGTGCTTACTTTCCAGGACATGCCAGGGCTTCCTGCAGTCAGGGAGCAGAGGTTACAGCAAGAGCGTGTGGAACATGCTAAGCTGGGGGAGGAGAGGAGACAGAGCAGGTGGTCTGACGATGGGGGCGTCTCTGGAAGGTGGAGACTGGTTGCATTGAGGCTCTAAGAAGCCTCAGCTGGTCCACTGTGCGGACAGCGGGACAGCCTCCACCCAGCCCCGCTGCTGGATGAGCTGTGGAACCTGTGGCTGCCATGGGAACCAGGCTGTGAACACAAGGCACCAGGGGCAGAGAGGCCCCGCCCGGAAAAACAACATCCTGACTGCTGGGGCCAGGCAGGCGCTGTGGGAGGGGTTATTTTTAGCTGCCTAGGCGGCTGGGGCAAGACTTGTATGGCCTTGCTGTCTGGCTGAATAACTACCCATTGTCCTGCCTGACCTTGTGTGGTTGCTGGGAGGCCTCTCCGTCTGCCCTTGGGGTGCACCTGGGAGCGGGTCTGGAAACACAGGCAAGGCAGAGAGTTTCTGGGATGGCAGAGGGCAGGCACTGAGCCTTGCGGGAGGATCAGTGCTGAATTACAGCTGCAGAGCTGGGAGTGGATAAGTGAGGCTCCAGAAGACTCACCCCTCTTTATTGGTCATGTCCTCCCCACCACAGGCCCACCTGGGTGGTTGGTCTCAGCTAAGTCCGTCCGTGGTCAGGTATGTGTGTGAAAGAAGCTCAGGTCTCCAGTTCTCTTGCTCACATCCAGTAAACCTGCTCTGCTCGAGGATGTGTGACGCCTGTTTCATCCTGGGTAGAACACATACCCGGGAGGTCCAGAATTGGCTTGTGGCATCAAAGGAGAAAAGAGCTGGTGGGAGCCCCCATCCAAAGCAAAGGCTGCTGCAGCAAGGTCGGCTACAGGGTCGGCCTCTGTGGAAGAAGCCTCTTCTGGCTGTCCCTGCCCAGAATCAGGGTGTTCCTGAAGGTCAGGCACCGTATTTTAGCCCCTTCCTGCTGGGCCAGGGCCTCCACCTTCCCTTGCCTGCTCATTCTGGGGTGTTTTTTTTTGTGTGTAGATGTAATAGCACAAGTACGTGTGTGTATGGAAGACCTCAGATATGGCTCAACAGACATCCACCCTGTTTTATTTTAAGGTTTTTAAATCATTTATTTTATTTTATTTATTTTTGGTCTTTTTGAGACAAGGTCCCCTTGCAGCCCCAGCTGGCCTGGAACTCACTATGTAGACCAGGCAGGACTTGAACTCACAGAGAAGCTCTGCCTGCCTCTGCCTCCCAAGTGCTATATTGTATTTTTAAAAATATTTTATTTATTATTTTTATTTTATGTGTATGAGTGTATTGCCTGCGTGTGTGTGAGTGCACCAGTATTGTGCAATGCCGTGGAGGTCAGAAGAGGGCTTCGGATTCCCCTGGAACTGGAGTTAAGGATGGTTCATAGCTGCCATGTGGGTGCTGGGAATTGAACCTGGGTCCTCTGCAAGAGCAGTCAGTGCTCTTAACTGCTGGGCCATCTCTCCAGTATTTTTAAAAACTATTTTATTATTTTTGTTTGATGTGTCTGAGTGCATTGTTGACGTGTGTAAGTATATCCGTGTCATGCAGTGTCCTCGGCGGTCAGAAGAGGATAACAGATTCCCCTGGAACTGAAGTTAGGGATGGTTGTTAGCCATAATATGGATGTGCTGGGAATCGAACCCAGGTCCTCTTGCCAGAGCAGTCAGTGCTCTTAACTGCTGAGTCATCTCACCAGCCCTCTATTGTATTTTATTTTATGAGTGTTGTGTGTACGTGCACCTGTGTTGTGCATTGCTGGTGGAGGCCAGAAGATGGCGTTGGATCTCCTAGAACTGGAGTTACACATGGTGGTTAGCTGCTATCTGGGTGATGGGCACCAAACCCCAGGTCCTCTGCAAGAACAGCCAATACTTTTAACTGCTAAGCCATCTCTCTAGCATATATATATATATATGTGAGACAAGGTCTTACCATGTAGTCCTGGGTGACCTGAGACTCTATATGTAGACCAGCCTGGCCTTGAGCCCACAGAGATCTGCCTGCCTCTGCCTCCCAAGTGCTGGCATTAAAGTCATGCACCACCATGCCTGGCTTTTATTTTATTTTATCTTTTTTTTTTTCTTTTGAGACAGGGCCTCCCTGTAGCCTCAGCTGGCCTGAAACTTGCTATGTAGACTGGACCAGCCTCTATCTCACAGAGATCTCCCTGCCCTTTGCCTCCTGGGTGCTGAGATTACAGGTGTAAAATACCACACCCTGGGGCTTAAAAAATATATTTTTTATTGTTTTTATTTTATGTGTCTGAGTGTAATGCCTGCATGTGTGTAAGTGCACCCATGTCATCCAATGCCTACAGGGGTCAGAAGATGCATCAGATTCCCCTGGAACTGGAGTTAAGACAGTTGTTAGTTGCCATATGGGTGCTGGGAATCAAATCCAGGTCCTCTGCAAGAGCAGCCAGGGCTCTTAACCGCTGAGCCATTTCTCTAGCCCCAGTGCTTTTAAAAAATTTATTTATTATTATGAGGCTGGAGAGATGGCTCAGCGATTAAGAGCACTGGCTGTTCTTGCAGAGGACCTGGGTTTGATTCCCAGAACCTACATGGTGGCTAACAACTGTCTGTAACTCTGGTTCTAGGGATTCTGATGCCCTCTTCTGGCTTCGGTGGGCATTATATGCACTTTGTGCACTTACATACATATAGGCAAAACAGTCATACAAAATACAAATACATTTTTAAATGATTTATTATTTAAATATTTATTTTTGGTTGTTAGCCTTAGCCTTTAATGGCTGCGCTATCCCTCCAGCCCTGTTTATTTTTATTTTATGTGTATGAGTGTTTTGCCTGCATGTGTGTGCCAGCTGCAGATCACCATGTAGGTGCTGGAAACTGAGGCTAGGTCCTCTAAACAAGCAATACTCTTAACTGCTGAGCCATGTCTCCAGCCCCTGTTGTTATTTTTTATTATGTGTATGCATGTGTGCCTATGGGGAGAGGTGCATGTGTATGTGTGTCCATGAAGGCCAGAAGAGGTTATCAGATCCCCTGGGGCTGTAGCTGTAGATGACTGTGAACTTCCCGACATGGATGGGAACTGAGTTCAGGTTCTCTGGAAGAGCAGTATGTGTTAACCACTGAGCCATCTCTCCAGCCTCTTTAGAAGATGACAGATGTATCCAAAGTAAGGGATCATCTTGCCATAACACTCCTGCATGTGTGTTAAGTGGAGTGCCCATGGAGGTCAGAAGATGGCATCGGATTCCCCTGGAACTGAACCTGGGGAATTGAACCCAGGTCCTCTGCAAGAGCAGCCAGTGCTCTTAACCACTGTGTCATCTCTCCAGCCCCACTCCACTTTATTTTTGAGACAAAGTCTCTCACCTGGAACTCACCAATTAGGTGAACACCAGCCAGTCAGTGATCTGCCTGTCTCTACCTCCCCAGAGCTGAGATTAAAAGTAAGATATTTTTTCTGGGGATGGAATTCAGGTTCTCATTCACACTTGTGAAGCAAGCAGTTTACCCACTGAGCTCTCTAGCCATATTCTCAAATCTTTTTGAAAATTACATTTATTTATTTATGTGTGTGTGCATGCCAGGGTATATGCATGAGAGGGCTTGAATATGTCAATCAGAGGACAATTGGCATGATTCTGTCATCTTCTACGATGTGGGTTCTGGGGATTGAACTCAGGTTGTCAGGCTTTGCAGCAAGTGCCTTTACCCACTAAGCCATCTCACTGACCCCTATTCTCAAGTTTTGAAAGCTGAGAAGCCCTAGGAGTTTTTAGTGGATAGATGAAAAAGGGAGTCATTCATTCAACAGGTATTTATTGCACACCTACTGCGTGCCAGGCAGTTCTAGAAACCTGGAAAAGAAGGCTTTGGGGCAGCCTGAAATTGTCCCAGCTGAAGCAGTCTTCCCAAAACAAGTCCTGGCAGGGGGCAAGGGCTGGAGTTCCCTTCTGTGTAAATGGAAAGCCAAAATACAGGAGGCAGAGGCCTCTAGAAGTGAGAAGGCTGGGGGTGCCGAGGATTCTAAGGCTGAGGCCACTGCAGGGTGAGGCAGCCTGCATCACCTCCTCTTCAGTACAGATATGCAGGACTTCTTGAGGGGCCCAATCTGAAGATGAGCATCAACACTCTCCAGGAAGAAGGCAGGCTTGAGCCTGTAGTTGAAGAGCCCAGCAAAGTGACTGTCCAGGCGGCTCTGGAAGGGGTCAGTGGGAGAGGCCAGGGCACCACTCCGGCGTGGCCGGGAGGCTTTGAGCCTCCGCAGAAGGCTCAATTTTCCATCACGAACAGCATAGAAGGCCAAGGCGTGGTCAGCATACTCCAGGCAGACCCCAACCGTAGGTGAAAAGGCGTGGGGCAGTGTGGCCTCCAGCCCACAGAACCAGACTGAGAATCCACGCCCATTCCATTGCAGGCAGCAGGAGTGTGCATTGCGGCCCAGCCGGCCCCGGTCATAGGGTTCTTGCGGGGAGAAGCCCTCTGCCATGACACCCACACTGACCCATCCTTCGATGATCTCCACCTCCCAGTAGTAGGTGCCCCGGTCTAGAGCACCCTCACCTAGTACCTGCTCGCAGTGAGTGAATCGGGTGGGTGACTCAGGGTAGTTGATGGGACATAGTACTCTCTTGACACCTTTGGTTCCAAACAGCTGCAGGAACTTGTCTGCTGTGTCACTGTCCAAATCCACGATGTAGGCAACTGACCCCATGGATGGCAAAGAAATGCAAAGATTACAGCCAAGCTCAAATGCGAGAGTCCCCCCGCAACAGGTCTCCCCCCAAAACAGCCTTGCCCCTTCTTTAGGACCAGTGCAACTCAGCACTAATGAAGACTACCCATGGGGCTGACCTTGTTCACCCCAGAGACTAGGGAGAGGGAGCTCAAGCCCTGCTGTGTTTCATAGCCCTGTTGGGGCCTGCCTCTGAAGCCAGCCCAGAAACCGAAGGAGGCCCACGGTAGCAGGACAGCTCTGTCTACTTACATTTGAGGAAATAGTCCCTGGGTGCCTCACTCTCCAGCAGGTTGGTGCTGTCGGGGTCCTGGGACTCCGCATCTGGAGAAGAGGAGATGGTGGGGTGGACATCTTTCTAGACTACCTGTGGTTGGGTGCATGGCTGCCTTTGACAGTGCTCCACCCTCACCTGTGGCTGTCCTTCCTTCTTACCTTTCCAAAGCCCCAAGCCACCTGGGAACAGATATACCTAAATATGGGACCTTGTTCTCGCTCTTGCTTGCAGGATCTAAGAACTCTCAAGTTAGTGGGTGGGCTAGAAGAGTCCCCTTTATTTTGTAGCCAAAGAGCAGACTGGTCACCACAGGGTGGCTTCAGTTCCTGGCAGAATATGCCCCCTCCCTGTGTCAGGCACATAGTTCCCTCCTCTATTCCTAGATTTATACCAGGCCTGGAGCCTCATGTGGGGTGTCTGGGGGAGGGTGAGTCATCTTGGAGGGGTACCCACCTTCTGAGCCCAGCTTCTGCAGCCCATCCTCGTCACTGCCCAGCCCCCGCAGCTGCTCCCACTGGCTGGCACAGGCTGAAACCAGGACGTCTCTTACTGCCCTGACGACTTGGGAGGACTTGGTGAAGCTGAGTTCCCTGGGGGGCCCAGGACCAGGGCCACACCCCTCCTCCAGGGCCAGCCGTAGTGCCAGGAGCTCCTGTGCCAGACACAATGCCCATTAAAGCTTTGTTCCTCCTGGCCAGGGAAGGCAGCACACCAGAATGCGAACGCTGCCCTGGAAGGTCAAGCATTCATGGCCTCTGCCACAAGTGTCTTGCCTTCCCCTCTTCAGTTCCCTCTGTAGCTCATGAGCGTCCCTCACCTGCAGAAAGCTGACTGAGTCAGCTTCAGGAACTTGACTGAGGTTGTGACGCACCCGACTTAGGTGGCTGCGCTGTTCCTCTTGTCTCCGCAAGTCACCCTGGGAGCGGCCCAACATGGTGGCCTCCCCCTCTTCAATGAAGCCCAGCACCTCAGTCTGGAAGCTCTGTAGGGTGGCTGTTGCCTCTGCAAACAGCTGGCTCACTCTCTCTCGCTCTGCCACAGCTGCACTCTGCAGGAGAGGGCAGTGGTGAGGGCAAAGAGCAGGCCTGGCTTGTCTCCTTCCCCAATACTTATGCGCACCCTGACCTCCTAGGGGGAATGGAGGGGCCAGCCAGAGCTGGCCTGCTCCAGATCTGAGCCAAGTCAGGGGAAACAAGATGCTGGTGCTTAGTGGGGAACAGGTGGTGTCTTGAGCAGAAGGCTTATGCAGGCTGCTAGAAACCTCCAGGGGTGCATGGGGGGGATTTAGGGTGGGGGCTAACCTTGATTAGGGCCACCGTGCGCCGAGACTGTGCAATGCCGGCACCCAGCTCATCCATGCGGTCCTCCACAGCGCTCAAGACTTTGGACTGCTCGGCCTGTGGGTCATGCTCTGTGAGTATGGCCTCTGACAGAGGTCCCAACCCAGGTCCCAGGATTTGCCAGGGGAGTGGAAGGGTGACCAGGCAGTAGCTTATGTGCAGGAGTGGGACTGGGAATGGCCATAATATCCCATAATATGCCAAAGGTGCCTTCGGCCCAGGCTGCTGTCATTCCCAAATGCCTGGTGAGGAGGCAGGCTGTGGATGTCTGCCTCCCTGCTGACCAGAGGGGCCAATCAGGTCCATCCATGAATCTCAGTTCATTTGGGAATTTTTTTTCCAGTGGGGAAGAGGCAGAGTGAGAAATTAGGGCTGGGGTGTAATGGCACAGAGGGCATTAAATAGTCCTGGGGATCAGTCTCCAAAGAGTCCCCAATCCAAGCCTGAAAAATGGGGATTCCGGGCAAATCCCCTGGGTCGAATGAGTCACCGCTCCAGGCAGGAGAGACGGAAAATCCCAAGGCTAGAGGCTCCAAGACCGGGATGGTGGCCAAAGGAAACTGGGGGCGGGAGCTAGCGGGACACTGAGCACAGGCGCCCACCACGGCCCACAGTGGACAGAGAGGAGCTGTGTGACCAGCCCACCCTCCATTGCACTCCGGTTGCCCGCCACACCCATCCAAAGTGGCTGACTCAGTCCGGGGTAAATCTGAGTTGGGACCAGCGTGAGCCAAGCTCATCAACCATGGGGCCCCTCCCGAAACCTGCCACTCCTGGCCCTCACAGGCCCTGAAGGCCTTAACACGGATGCTTTTGGCTTTACACCTGCACTGACCTGGCTTTAGCCCCTCCCGCCCTTTCCTGCTCTGCCCGCCCTTTGCATCTCTTTAGTGTTCTCTCTGGTCTTTCCTTCCATCCACACTAGCATTGGACGAATGACACTGTCAAGACTGGAAGGGATTACAAAATCAGGTTAGAGGAGGAAATTAAGACGCAGCCTGGAGAACCAGCGAGATACAACCCAGGTAAAGTTGCAAAGAGAGAACCAACGCCTCAGTTATCTTCTGCACATACGCACCCACATACCCCACAATAATTAATAATAATAATAATAATAATAATAATAATAAAATGAACATATATTGAAAAGACACAGAGGGAGATTGAAGAACCTGGCAGCACTCCCACGTGGCTGGCCACCCATCTCCACGTGCCCGCCCAAAGTGCCCATGCCCCACCTCCTGCAGCACGCGCTCCTGCTCCAGCGGCACCAGCTCGTGGCCGCGGTGCTCCTGGGCGGCACAGGCCTCACACAGGCACACTCTCTCCACGCGGCAGTAACGCTCCAGGGGCCGCAGGTGGCGCGGGCACAGGCTCTCCTCCAGCCGGCGCAGCGGCGGCACCAGGCGGTGCCCGCGTAGCGCGGGGCTGCGCTCGTGCGGGCCCAGATGCGCGGAGCAGAAGGAGGCGAGGCAGGAGAGGCAGGAGAGCGCCGCGGGCAGGGCAGCACCCTCGGGGCACGCATCGCAGCGCACCGGCTCTTCACCCGCTGGCCATGGCTCGGGCGCGCAGGGAGCCGAGGGTTCCGGGGCGGTGGGTGGTGCGCTGGGCACCGAGGGCTCGGGCGTCGCGCCCGGAGCAGGGCCTGCAGCGGGGGAGGGCATGGGTCCCGGGCACAATCCCTGGCGGAGCTGCAGCAGCTCGGACAGCGTGTGGTTCTTGCGGAGCTGCAGGCCGTCGGGAAAGAGCTCCTGGCACAGCGGGCAGCGGGCCGGGCCTCCGGAACCACCCGTGCCACCCGCACTGCGATGTGGCCAGAGCGCGCCCAGGCAGGCGAGGCAGAAGTTGTGGCCGCAGGGCAGTGTCACCGGCTCCCGGAGCGGTTCTAGGCAGATGGGGCAGCTGAAGGGCCCGCTGCCGTCCATGGCTCCGCGGCCGCGGGGCACCGCCTGTTCTGCTCCCGCCTGGGAGGGACCTGGGACCGTTTGCGCACCGGCACCGCCCCCTGGGACCCAGGCCAAGGGTCCGGTCGCCTCCCACCCTCTCCAGCTCCGCCCGCCCCCTGCGCAGCCGCGGGGGTAGGTCCACAGACGCCAGCCAGCCCGCCTCCAGGGGTGCACTCCCTCCTGGGTCCCCCCAGATCAAGGCGATGTCACTGCCGAAAGGATGTGGAAAGGAGAGGACAAGGGCAGAGAATGCGAGGGGGCACACGGGATGGAGGCTGGGAGAGCCTTAGATCCTTCTCCACCGACCCCGGACCAGGCCCCGTCTTCTGTAGAGGTGAGCAGGCCCAGCTGGGTCAGGCCTGCACCTTTGCGCTCCAGAACCCTCCCTGGTACAGTGAGCAATTTGAGTTGCTGACTGTAGAAAAAATAACTGCTGGTGTGTGCGTGTGTTTTTGCCCCTTAGCGACTCTGTTTACCCCCACTGGGGAACTTGGCCATTTCTGGATCTGAAATGGGAAGTTGACATCATTAGACAAATCTCTTGTCTGAGGAATTCACTTCCGTCCACGGACACTTGCAGGTGTCTGTGGTTTTTCATAAAGAACATTGGTTGAGACTTGCCCAACTAGGTACTTAAAACGGTGCATCTTATTATAAGTAGGGATTTCTTTGTGGGTTTTTTTTTTTTGCGGGGGGGGGGGGGGGGTTTGAGACAGAGTCTTCCTGTAGCCCCAGCTGGCCTGAAACTGTCATGTAGACCAGGCTGACCTTGATCTCATGGAGATTCACCTGCCTCTGCCTCTTGAGGGCTGGAATTTAAAGGTGTGCACCACCCAGGCTGTGTTTGTTTTGAGACATAGTCTCCATATTGGCCTGGAACTCTCCATTCTCCTGCCTCAGGCTTTTGAGATCACAGGCTTAAGCTACTCATAGGCTTTTTTTTTTTTTTTTTGCTCTTTTTGAGACAGGGTCTCCCTGTAGCCCTAGCTGGCCTGGATTCGCTATGGAGACCAGGCTGGCCTTGAACTCACAGAGATCTGCCTGCCTCTGCCTCCTGAATGCTGGGATTATAGGCGTGTACCACCACATCCAGCAATTTAATTTTATTTGTACAAGTATTTTGTTTGCCTGTATATATACTGGTATGTGTGTATGCCCAGGGGACGAGGATGACAGAGCTGCCATATGGGTTCTAGGAATTGAACCCAGGTCCTCTGGCAGAACAGCCAGTGCTCTTAGCCCCTGAGCCACCTCTCCTAACCTTCATTGAGACAGGGTCTTACATAGCCTAAGTTGGCTTCAAACTTGGTATGTTGGTGAGGATGACCTTGAACTCCTCATCCTGCCTCCACCTCCTAATTGACGAGATTACAAGTGTGTACCATGTCTGGATAACCTGACATCTTATTATATTTCAATAATAAGTTTTAAAATATATAGAATTCTGGGGCTGTAGAGATGCTCAGTGGTTAAGAGCACTGACTGCTCTTATAGAGAACCCGGGTTTGGTTCCCAGCACCCAAATGGCAGCTAACAACTATCCATAACTCTAACGTCCTCATCTGGCCTCTGCAGGCATTACATGCATGGGTTCTCTCCCTGCACCCACGTGGAAGCTAACAACCAACCCTAACTCCAGATCCAGGGGATCTGACACCCCTTTCTGGCCCCCTCAGGCATTGCACAACATGGCTGCATTTATATATATGCAGGCAGTACACTCATACACATAAACTATATAAATAAGTAAACTAAAAAAAAGAAAATCCATATGCCCATGCTATTATTAATAGGTAACTGAATAAATGATTATGTAGGGAGAGAATTCATCTTTCCCATTCAGAATTCCAAATGATTTTTGAGTGGCTCTCCAAGCTAAAATGTAACTTCCCATTCCTTACGTGCGGGCTATGCACAGTGACTTTCTTCTGATGACAACAGATGAGTGATCTTCCAGTGGAGAAACTGTCAGCATCAACATGGTCAGTCATACCACAGCACACCATGCTGGGCTCCCTTTTCCTAGAGCAGCCTACAGACTCTTTTTATTATTTGTGTGTGTGGAGGTAGAGGACAATTTTCTAGAATCAGTTCTCTTATCTCATGTGGCTTCCAGGAGATGGAACTTCGGTCATCGAGACTGGTGGCAAGTGCCTTTACCTACTGAACTTTTTTGCTGACCCCAAAGTAATGATTTTCATCATTTATTTATTTGAAATTATTTTAAAGAATTATTTATTGTGGCTGCAGAGATGGCTCAGCAGTTAAGAGTACTGACTGCTCTTGCAGAGGACCCAGGTTTGATTCCCAGCATCCACATGATGGCTAACAACTGTCTGTAACACCAGTTCTAGGGGATACAACACCCTTTTTGGGCTTCCAGGGCATTGCATGAATGTGGTACACTTACATACATGCAGACAAAACACTCAAATACATAAAAATAAATCAATCAAAAAAGTTTAAATACACAAACTAAGTGTGGGGGTGTGTATCTGTGATCCTAGTACTCAGGAGGCTGAAGCAGGATGATTACAATTTTGAGACTAGCTTAGGTTGCATTTGGGGATACTTAAAAAAATACAGTGTGTTGGGATATTCAGTGACACCATGCTGCCTAGCAGTCCCAAAGTCCTGGGTTCAGTTTCCAGCCCAGGAAAAAAAAGAAAGAACCAAATAAAATGTGTATGATTCCAGGAAACTAGTTAATTAGAAATAAAGATAAACTATAGTAAAACAAATTTGTGATAAAGTTACATATAGATTTCTCTCTCCCTCAGAGGTAGTGAGAAAGAGGGAGAGAGAGAGGGAGGAGAGAGAACTATTCCAAGTTTTATGCGGTGCTGGGGATTGAACCTAGGGCCTCAAACATACTAGGAAAGCACTACACCAACCACTGAACTATAACCCCTCCACCCCCATTTTTTTAAACGGTCTCATCATGTAGCCCTGGTTGGCCTCGAACTCACAGAGATTCATCCGCCTCTGCCTCCTAAATTTCTTTACCTTTAAAAATAGTTTTTATTAATTTCAACTTGAAGGGTTTTGTTTTGTTTATATATTTTAATTAATTAGTTAATTTTTTTCAGACAGGGTCTCTGTGTAGCCCCAGCTGGCCTAGAACTTGCTATGTGGACCAGGCTGGCCTTGCCTCTGCCATGCCAGGATTAAAAGTATGCACCACCACACCTGGTTGAAGGACATTTTTTCTCCTAAGACACAGTCTCACATGTGTTCAGGTAATTTGGCCCATGCTGAAGTTTTCCAACTTTTAACTTAAAAGAACCTATTTGATTTCCTGTGTATCCTTATGTAAATAAAAACAAATATAAAGGATTGACAAGATGGCTCAGTGAATATGCTAAACAAGCTTGACAGCCTGAGTGTCATCCCTGGAACCCATGTGAAGGTAGATGGAGAGAACTAATTCCACAGTTATCCCTTGCATTCCACATTCAGGACATGGCACACAACCCCCTCCCCACATTAGGTAAATCAAGACATACACATAGAACAATAAATAAAATTTTTGTATAAAAATATAGAATCGCCTGGCATGGTGGCACACGCCTGTAATCCCAGTGCTCAGGAAGTAGAGGCAGGCAGATCTCTGTGAGTTCAAGGCCCTCTGGTCTACATATTGAGTTTCCGGCCAACTTGGGCTACAGGGAACCCTGTATCAAAAAGACCAAAAAATAAAAATAAAATAAATTAAATAAAAATACAAAATTTTGGGGCTGAAAAGATGGCTCAGTGGTTAAGAGAACTGGCTGTTCTTGCAGAGAGGGAACTGGGGTTCCATTCCCAGGACCCAAAGGATGGCTAACAACCATCTGTAACTCCAGTTTCAGGGGATCTGATGCACTCTTCTGGTCATCATGAGCATTGTACACACATGGTGCACTTACATACATGCAGACAAAACACTCATACACATAAAAATACAAAAAAAATTTGCAGGGTCTCACTATGTCATCCAGGTAGCCTCAGACTTCTGGTCTCAAGTATACTTTCTGCCTCAGCCTCCTGGGTAACTATGACTGCAGATAAGCCACCACACCCAGATTCCATTGGGTTTATATTTATTTTTATTTTATTTTATTTTATATGTATGACTATTTGCCTCCATGCAAATGTACCTGTGTTGTGCAGGGCCCACAGAGGTCAGAAGAGGGTGTCAGATCCCTGGAAGTGGAGTTACAGACAGTTGTTAGCTGCCATGTGAGTGCTGGGAATCGAACCCAGGTCCTCTGCAAGAGTAGCCAGTGCTCTTAACGGCTCAGCCATCTCTCCAGCCCTCACCCAGATTCTATTGTAATAGAAAGAAAGCTATGTTTCCATTACAGGTCAATGAAAATAAAACTCAGGCCCCTAGACTTTAAGTTTAGAATGTCTACTTTTAGGGCTGAGGATGTAGCTCAGTAGTACCTTGTCTAACAAGCACAAGGCCCAGCACAAAACAAAAACAACAGAAAGAATGTCTACTTTAGAAAGAGGCTGTGCAGGAACTGGAGAGATGGCTCAACGGTTAAGAGCACTGTCTGCCTTGCAGAGGACCTAGGTTCCAGTCCCAGCACCTACATGGTGGCTACTAACCATCCTTAATTCTAGTTCCAGGGGAATCTGACACCCTCTTCTGACCTCCATGGCAGTGCACCACATACATGCAGGCAATATACTCATACACATAAAATAAAAATGATAATAATAATCAATTCAAATTAAAATCTTCCTGTAAAGTTCACCAACAGAATCAAAAAAAGAGGCTATGCAGAGCCCCTCTGGCATGTTAACCTTAAAGAGGCTCTAATAAAGTCTCCCATGTGTCACATACCTCACAAGCTCTGACTCTTAGAATCTCACCCTCCTTTAAGGGAACTAAAGAGCGTCAGAGAAGCCGTGTGAGTCACCCATAGTTACCCAGATGGCTGGTGGTATGTTTGCTTCTAAGCATACCACACTGCCAGGCGGTGTTAGCCAACTTTGGAAGTGATCTTGGGAAAGACAGGACAGGAGGCTGTCCCCCCATCTTCTCT